AGATATGACATCTGACAGTGTGGTCAAAACAGCGTTAAGGAACAAAATTACCTGTCTTGATGCTAAGTAAAAAAAGGACACTCCAAGTTGTTGATTAAATGAAAAAATAGCTTCTTAAAACACCTGTTGTAAAATCTGTCTTAGATACAGAAATGGATTGACAATTACAGAATTTTTAATCTTTGCAATGTACATTGGTTATAATAATTGCTAAAGGAAAGATGAGTTTATTATGAGTTTATGTGGCCATTAAAACTGCAGATTGTTACTGTTCATGATTATATATTTCTAAGTATATATATTAATATTACTTTGCAGCATTATTATCAAATTCAGTGAGTTCCAATTAACTTGAATGATCAGAGCAGAGGTGCTCATTTATATTTTTGAAAACCTCTTTTTTTAATCAGATTTGTATTGCATAACTCACATTAATATGTTAATAATAAATGTTCGGTTGATTAAACCTGTGTTTCAGTTGTTTTTACATGTATGCATTAAGTATACTTGAAGTGTACTTCCTTTAAAGTATACTGGAAGTATACTTCCTTTAAAGTATACTTGAAGTATACTTCTTTTAAAGTATACTTTTAAGTATACTTCCTTTAAAGTATACTTTTAAGTATACTTTTTAGGTGGCCAAAAGTTGTGTACTTTAAGCATACTTCTGTAAGTATACTTAAAGTATACTTCAAGTACAAAAAAAGTATACTTTTTAAAGTGTTGATCACCTATTTAAAGTATACTTTAAGTGTACTGAAATACACAACAAAACGGAACAATTCGTGTATTGGTTGCCACAATTGCTTTTGGGATGGGGGTGGACTGCAAAGGGGTTCACCGCACAATTCACTTTGGCCCCTACAAAACACTAGAATGCTGCAACCAGGAGACGGTTAGGGCAGGTAGAGATGATGGACAGAGTACTTCATACTTATTGTTTAATTGGATAATGAAACATAACTGTTTTCACTGTTGAAATCTATTGACTGTTTCAACACAATGTAAAAAAGAACCAATACCACAGTAATCATCTACTTGCAATGGATTGGGAAGTTGCTCAATTTGCTGTTCAGACAGACTGATTGATGGAGGCTCAATATTAACCTGGTAGTCTTCTTCTTCCACTGAGAGTAATCCCACTGGGTCAACTCCAAAGTCATCAATCTCAGATGGATTCAATGCAGTATGACCAGAATGTATATTTTCAAGCATCCCTTCCTGCCACATTTGAAGTGGTGACTTGTTTTTTTCACTTGACACTGGATGGTTGTTTATTTGCAGAACAAATTCCTGCAAAGACTTTTTTATGCGAGGAATAAAAACTTGATGGAGGCTATACAAGTGAACATCATTCAATATATCCAAAAAATGCCTTCATTTTCCATTGCCTCAAATATACGTGAATAAAAAGGCAGCACGCCTGCATAGATGTCACGGTGACTTCTTTTAACTCTGCAGTTGTGAACAGAGGAACCGTTGATAATACTTCCTCTTCCCTCTCCTCTGTGTTCTAACATGTACTGTGCAACATATGTTTTCCATGCTATAATCACTTCTAACTCTTGACAGAAGGCCCACTGTTTGAACACCATCTTCAAACAAAGATAGAACAGTGTCAGCCTTGTTGTTGTTGCAGCAATGAACATATACCAGCAGTCTGGTCTTCCCATCAGTACAAAAATGGGTAATCAACTTATACCCAATCAATTTATGTCCAGAGTCGATATGCCATAGGCTGTTTCGAGTTGGAAAATAGTACTTTCGGCGGCGAATAGCCATTCTCCATCGTAAAGTTGTTCCAACTGGATCAACCCGATGCAAACACTCACTGACCCTCCACCTTTGAAAGCGTAAACCCCTACTTCTAAGTGCGCCTATGAATCTTCGTCTTCCAATGTTTGGAGTAAGAGGGCCACTTTGAAAGTTTCCTGATACTGTTGCATAAATTCTATCCAATTCATCATCTGAAATATCTGAAAATTTTTCTAGCTCGTCACTAAGACCAAATTCCCTGCGACGTCTTTGTAGTGTTGAAATGGTGACTTGAAGAATGGCAGCAATTTTTGTCCACGAGAAGAAAAGAGAACGTAGATGTTCAACTTGTTCTTTTGAAATATCGTATGGCTTTCGCCCAGGCCCCAGTTTTGATTTTAACGGCGCGCGATAAGCAGTATCATCTTCATTATAATTCTCACTTTTCTCGATTTCAGCAGACAAAAGGTTGATTAAGTGCACCAATAAGTGCCTTAAGTTATGAATTGGCAGTTGTACAGCTTCAGTTGGTATTCCAGTAACATTCAGACGAACATGTAGACGAACAGTAAACACCAGCACTTCTTGATCAATAAATGGACGTAATATAGACTTCAAAGTTTGAAGAAAGTATTAAAAGCCCCTCTCATTTCTTTCCCTGCATTTTCCACCATATTAGTTATACACCTGCACAAGCTTGTAGGATACGTTCCCAGTCCTACCAGTCGGGACTGCATTGGTTCATGGGATATGCTTAATAATTCGAACATGCCAAAAAATATTTGTACACAAAAATAATTCGAACACAAAAATATAGTTGTAATCAAAAATAATTCGAACACAAAAAAATAATTGTCTCCTGTGGCTCAGTGGTTAGAGCATCCGACAAGATCACGGAGGGTCGTGGGTTCACATCCCATCTGGAAACTCGATTTTTCTCTTACATTAAAAATTGTTTCAAAAAAATAATTGTACACAAAAATAATTATACTCTAGAGAAAAATAAAGAAATGCAGTAAAAGTGAATTTGTGACAAATAATTACAGCTTGGATAAAAATAATAAAACCCTAGTTGATAATTGAAAACCACTACAAAAATAATTGTCCGACACTAAAAACTAATTCAACATTTACCATAAAATAAATAAAGCAATTTTGACCAGAACGGGCCTCCATACACCTTGGTTTTTCGAAATATTGCAAAATAATTTTTTCCGAGCGAAAATCACTTCAGCGCACAAAGGCCCACAGCGCTGATCATCAAAAATAGTACAAATCGCTGTGCTCATCTGGTTTGAGGACCACTTATAGAGACTGCGTCTTGATTGTTGTGTGCAGTGCACTTTCTCTCACTGAGCCTAAAACTATCGTGTAAACATGTAAAATATGCGCCGCAGGATTACGTAGGAGATCACTGCTAGGCTTATCTCTGAACGGCTTTCCTGATGTTGTGATTGTTGATCGTCAGCATTTGTGACCATGAGATTTCTATTCCAGTCTTCCTAATTTCATTCTGATGAAGCCTTGTGTGAACAGCCTCATTCTCCTTGTCTGCAAGAGGGGATTAATGAACTTTCCTTCGTCCTAGAGCAGGCAGTGTCTGTCGTCATAGGCGTTTACAATGACGGTGTGTGTTCTTGCGAGTTGGGTATTTCTGTCATTCTCCTTGACGACGATCCTTAACCACGACAACAGGAGAGACGTGTGACAGCGTACCGTTAGCGGGAAAGTTCAACGACTATAAGAAACCTTAAGATACCCCGAAATCGGCGTACGGGTGACGGGTAGCGCCATATTTTTTTTTTCATTTTGCGATGATGTCATCGATCTTACCCGGTAGACCCAGCCGTTTTCCCGGGGTAGGCACCAGTTTACCCGTAGAAAAATTACGAGTACGAGCTACATAATGGAGAAACGAGTGAGTTTTTAAGACGTTTGAATTGTTTGACTCCTTAGCAATGTTATTGCAAGTCTATTTAAATATTTTTGTCAATTTTAAATTTTAGCGGTAAAGAAAGCGCGTCAAATTGGATTGACTTTGGATCTCAAATGCGAGGGTTGAACTCTGAAACGATATGAATTTGTGGCGGTAATTTGGGGGATTTCTGAGAATTGCTCCAACGGTTGTGTCTCCCAAAAGTACTGGCATTGAAAAATTGATAAAGCTTACTGCATCCGCAAGAAGAATTTCGATGTCGTCATCCTCAGTGTCAAACGCATGGAGAAGAAGCATATCATTGGCGTACATTCTAAAGACAGAACATTCGTAAAGGAGAATTTTGGATACATTTGAATAGACTTCACAATTTAGATGACTTATTTCTGAGGAAAGAGAGCAACCCTTGCTGCCGCGGCCGTCATCTTTGCAAACAATCGTTACCAAACCCCGCATGTTAACTCTTCGGGTATCTTAATCAAATTAGCTAGGCACATGAACATTTCACGTGTACGGGTACAGTACCCGTACCCCGTACACCGATTTCGAGGTATTTTAAGGTCTCTAAACGTTTAAAGGTCATATTCCTAGTATACTACACAATTCAAGACTAGAGAATCGATGTACACGTCAAATTTAATTCTATCGAGATTTACGAACGAGTTCATATGTAATTGAAAAGGAGTTTCAGCATTTTATTATTGCGTAAAAAACAGGAGTTTGATCAAAGCACCACCCATAAATCAAAGAATGTAATAGCAAATTCAAGCCTGCACGTTAGTTAGACTTGGCAGAGTTACACTTTTTCTACAATTTCGTCTGAACGATTTGTTTATTACCACGAACAGAAAATAGGAAACAATCTCAATGTTTGATTCGTGAGTAAAAGAACAGCAAAATCCGTTGACGATTCACGATTTCATGATCAATCAAGTTTGAGAATGAGACACTTTGATTAACACTTCATACTAATACTACGATTTGTGATGGTCTCAAATAACTCCATGCACTCAGCGCACATTTCGAAGGTGAAAAACTGCTACTTTCTTCCTGCGCTACCTTAAAAAAACCAACTTAATAATGCTAGTTATATTTCACAGCTCGCGGACGCAATTGTCTGGCAATTATAGTTCTTGTGGAGTCTTGTTCTGTTTTTGCTTCACGACATTCCTAAGGGTTTCAAAAGATTGAATATAAAGTGAGCTACACCAAAAACTCTGTGGCAGAAAAAACATCTGATTTTTCAAACTGGTTGGATTGTGCCTCACGGGGATCACTGTACCTGTTTTGCGGGAGACAAATATGCTGTCACCGCAGGTTTCTTGAACAACTTTTTTCCCTTTTTCGCGGAGGACTGAGTTAACTTTGGCGGTACATTTTCTCTTTCTTCGTTCGGTTGCGATGTGCCCTTTTCAGTGTCTTCACCTAAAAAAGAGATACACTTCAGAGCTCGATACGAGTCACGCCTATCAGTACGAATTAAGACATGTCCATGGTTCGATATTGCGTCATAACTTTGCAAAACTTTATACCTGCAGCGTTTTCTTGTAAGTCTTGGAAGAGTTTTCTCTTTTTTGATTCTACTTTGGGTGACTCTGTCTCGTCCTGCGGAGAGATTTCAATTCAGCATTTAATGGGCGCTCGAACAAAGCAACTCAGAATTCACAACTCCAATGCTTAGTATGATTCATTGACAACTTCTTCATCGAACAAACTGACGCGTGTTAATTAGGTAATAGAAACAGATAACCTTACCACTGACGACTTTTTTGCTGATAAAGTCGTCGACTTTGTCCCGGATGTCGTCTGTTTGTTTCTCGCAGATTGTCGTGTGCTCGGGCGACTTCGCCTGCGGAAAAATAAGAGAATTCGTTGACTGACGAATGAGCCTTTAAACCGCTGTAGGGGAGAAGAATTGTTAAGTTGATTCCTGAGAAAAAAAGTTATCGAACAAGGTTTTTAAACTTTTCTTAAATATTTCCTAGCGATGTCTGTTTCGAAAAATGCAATTGAAAAGTGCTTGTTTAGGAGAGATTGCGAACCAAACTTACTTAATTTATGCCCGTGTCGGCAATAATCACTATCCTGTGTACAGCCGTCCCCTACCCTCCACAAGAAATTCGGGAAGGGGGCCTTCCCAATTTTCTTTTGGAGGGTAGGGGGGCGACAGTACACAGGCTACATTTCATCAGCTCGCGGTATATTTTGAGGTAGCTGGAAGCAATGGTTTTTGAAGAAACACTTGAAAAAAACTTTTGGAAAAAACTTGACAGGTAGAAAGTCTCGAGCGTATGGAACAATTTTATGGACAAGGCTCGGTTCAAACGTCAAATTTCACATGTGCCGAACTTTATGCATGAATTATAGAAAGTTATTATGATTCATTTATAACCCACAACTTGCCAGGAATTCTATGAATGCCATACGCGAAAAAGCCAAAACAGCACAAAAAAATGGTGGGAGACGAAGGAATTTGTAGTTCTTGCTTTGCAAAGACAATATGTAGTTGTTTGACGAGCGGTAATTACTTTTGTATGAGGTGTTCGGTTTTTGAAAACGAAGAGGGCACTCCTGGGTGGAAAGTAGGAAAATCTGTGGCATATTGCGAGTCGTGTTTCAATGAAATGATGGAACGTGAATCAAGTCAGAGTATCATGACGAAAAGCCAAGATGACGAAGCAAAATTAAACAGCAAAACAAAAGCATCAGTAAAGCAATTAAGCAAACGCTCAATAGACGTCTTCGTCTAGGAAATAAGCAGTGCACCTGGAAATATTGACAACGAACAGAGTTACATTCGACGTTTGAATCAAATGCCGTATTTAACTATTTTAGTTTACTAAAATAGGAGTTAAGGTCGGCACATGTGACATTCGACGTTTGAACTGGGCCTTATTTGAGAAAAATCAAGCAGTTTTAAACGACATTGACTTGAAACGTTTCTCGAGTCGTTGCTTTTAAGGTAATACTTTGCATCCTCGAGTAACGGGCTTCATGCATGCTTTTTGATATATCCTTTTTCCCCTTAGATTGATTTTTTGAATTTCTCCAATTTAAAGGGGATAAATTCTGCACCAAAATTATGCAATAAAAAAAGGCCACCGTGCTCGTTCAAGATCTTAAGGCTATCCTACCTCTTTACCCGGTCTATCTAATGAAAAACAATACCCTGTTCTTGGAATGCGCGAGAGCTTATTCGCCTAATTAAGTAATTTTTTATGCGCACTGCAGGTTGCGCAGTACAATACTGAGGAATGCCTTAGGCAGCATGAATTGTTTTAACCACAAGACATTACGCGCTTAGTCCGCCATTTTCTATGCCATCTTAATTCGTGAAATTTCCATCGAAGGCCATCATCCAAGTGCATCTGAGCGATTTAAATATACTGAGGACTTATTATTGTGGCATTCCTTTCAAAATATCTGTGGTATATTCAGGATAGTTAATTTAGTGGTTTCTCGCAATTGTCTCGAGAAAGTTGTTTATAACTTGGACCTTCCATGGAATCTCGCGTTCCTTTACAAGAAAGAATCACCCGAATGACAGAAAGGATTGTTCTAGCATTAAGAGTCAACTATAATAGCCAATTAACGGATATTTTGCTTCATCAAAGCATTGACAAGCTTCGCACGAAGTGCAGGTCACAGGAAGCAAATGGCCGGTGAAAACTTGAACTATTGACGGGCCTGCACGACTTCGCCATTCGCAAGCGATTTTAAACTTGTGCTTTCATAGATTAGTTCTGACCAGGAGATATTTTACTGATTTTCCTTTGTGATGTGACTATATTACACAAACTCCGTTCGAAATATATGAGAAAACATCAGGTAGAATTCCGCTTATTTGTGCTTCGAACTACTTTTTAACGCATATTAAAGTCTGTCCCCAACCAGGGACAGGTCAAAAGGTGACGCAATCCCATAGTGACCATGTACAAGCACATGGTCCCATGATCCTTTGCATCTTTTTTTTGCTATGCTTCGATCCACACATTACGTGAGCTTTTAGCGTAAACTTTTTCGCTTTATTTTTTTCCCCTATCAGCTCTCTCTACACCTCCTCGGTAACGAGGAAAGGTTCTGAAGATATTTTCTTCAAATTGACGTGGAGAATTTGCTACCTTTCTATAATATCAAGAAATGGATAGATGTTCTAGTCTTCTCGAATAAGGACAAATAAACCATAGGCCCCGTCTCTTGCAGGGTTAGGGGTAGGAGACGTTAATTTCCCACGCACGAGATTACTGTGTGGTGGATGTCCTCCCCTGGAGTGGGATGGGAGGGAAGGTGAGATCGTTACATGGACTGAAGCGGCTGCCAGAGGCGCCTGATAATACTGACGTCTGATCTCAACCTTATCATTGTAACTAGACACGTTTGTTGTTTAGAGTGCTTAAGACTTTCTTTCTTTCTTTCTTCTTTCTCAATCGTATAATACGATATCACGTAGAAAACGATCTCATCGTTCTCTTTCGCCACACGACCGCTATTACGACCGCCGACTCGGAGTGAGGCTAAAAGGCCCCAAACCCCCGATAATTCGCCGGCAACGGGCGAAAATACGCTGGATTCTATCCTGCAGACCTTACAGCAAATTCAGTCTGACATGGCGAAGACGAACGATCGGGTATCCTCAATGGAAACTCTACTACAACAACCTTCAGGTTTAGCGCCATCGCTCCCCACCTGCGACGACGAGATTTCTCTCATGGCGCTCTCAGATAACGAGTTAGAGGATGGCCTCTCTCAGGCTACTGAGCCGCAGCAACAGGCTGTTAAAGCAAAACACAAGGCTAGTAAGCTATCACACGAGGCCATTAGGCCATCAAACGAGACTTATGTGTCCCATACAGTGGAGACAACTCCACCGAAGGAAATGGCCCCTGACAACTCTTCACAGTCATTATATGACCCTGACTCAGCCTTCTATTCATGGGCCCCTCCGAAGGATTTCACCTCCTTCTTAGAGAAACAGTTTCGTAGGAAACTCACCTATGACCAGGTACGTGAAATTCTCGACAATTATAATATTCCAGCTGTCGACTGTTTATTTACGCCTTCCCTGGACCCTTCTGTCGCAAATCAAATAAGCCCTCCGCAAACAAAGAAGTACGTACACTATCGCGATAAGGAGATGGCTACGGTCCAAAGGGCCTCTCTGCTCTCTTCATGATGCTCTTACCTCTGGAACCCAAGTTCCCATAGAGGACATTAAATGTATAGTTGAGCAAACATTGTGTCTCCTTGGTTCAGCAAACCACCAAATGTCAATATTAAGTAGAAAGAAAGTTCCTGCAAATATCAATAAAGATAAAATAAGTCTGGCTGATCAGTCATTCCCTAATGCCAAACGTTTCCTGTTTGGAGAGGATTTCCCTGCAGTTGCTTCAAAACAAGCAGAACTCTCTCGTGGCCTAGCCAAGAACTTATCGCATGCCCAAAAGCCCAAAAAAACCTTCCAAAAACCTGGGAACACAAAGGAAAGGCAACGCCCAAGGACCCTGGGCACTTTCTCTAAGTACCAAGCAAACCGACCAAAAAACTATCGGTCCTTTCGCCCCAACAAGGGTTCGTCAAACCAAGACTCAACAACTTCCAAGATCAGTGGAAGGAAATCACCTCAGATACTGAAACCTTAAACGTTGTGTTGGGATATCAAATCCCCTTTCACTCTGTTCCTGTTCAGTTACACGTTGCAGTTACAACATGTTCAGATTCGACAGCTCTCCTTGTAGATGCAGAGGTGCACAAAGTCCTCTCAATGGGGGCAGCAAAAGAGATTCCATTCTCCACAGAATTTCTATAGCAGAATCTTTCTGGTTCCGAAAAAAGAGGGAACATTTCGCCCTGTAATGGACCTGAGTCGTCGTCTCAACAAGTTTGTGGAGAACTTCCATTTTCGAATGGAAAATATCTCCTGTCTCAAAACTCTCTTAAAAAAGGGAGACTTTATGACATGCATAGACTTAAAGGATGCATATCTCTCCGTCCACGTACACAAATCCTCACAAAGGTACCTTTGCTTCCAGTAGAGAAACAAAACGCTTCCCTTTCAAGGTCTGCCATTTGGGCTAAATACAGCCCCTAGAATGTTTACAAAGCTAATAAAACCCATAGCTGCTTATCTACGGAAGAGAGGTATTCGAATAATCATCTACCTAGACGACTTCCTAATCCCAGGCTCCTCCTTAGAAGAGTCAACAGCAAACACCTGGCAAACACTGACCCTTCTCCAGCAGCTGGGCTTCACCATAAATTGGGAGAAGTCTATCCTGGAGCCCACCCAGTCATTAACATTTCTGGGCCTTTCTATAGACTCACAGACAATGTCACTCAGCCTTCCAGAGGGAGAGATCCTGAATATACAAAACAAATGTCAACAAAACCTTCTCCTCAACCCTACCCCTTCTGCTCGCGAAGTAGCAAGCCTGATAGGGACATGGGAGGCTGCTCGCCCTGCAATTTGGCAAGCCCTCCTCCATTCCAGATATCTACAAATACAGCTCATAAAGTCCCTGCAAGTGTCTCAAGACAATTACGAGACACTCAAGTCCTTGAACAGCAACGCTCATGCAGAACTATAGTGGTGGCACCAGAATGTTGTAACCGTAAACGGCAGTGCGATCAATCCTCCTCCCCCAGACCTCTACATAACATCAGACGCCTCCAAAACGGGCTGGGGTGCCTGGTGAGGGAACTTAACCGTAAACGGCCGTTGGTTTCCTCTGGAAGCCAAACAACACATACACGTCCTCGAACTGAAAGCGGCCTATCTTGCCGTCAAAACCTTCCTCAAGGACAGGACCAACATTGTGGCATGTCTCCACAGCTGTAGCCCACGTAAACAACAAAGGGGGAACACGTTCCCCACAACTTGTCACTTTAACTCTGAAACTTTGGCAGTGGTGTCTTCATAAGTCAATCCTGATCACTGCTCAACACTTACCAGGCAAGCTAAACAGTGTAGTAGACAGAGAGTCCAGGGAGTTTTAAGACTTCAGCGAATGGCAAATAGATACACAGGTAATCCAACCCTTCATAACAGGGTGCAATGTAGACCTCTTTGCCTGTCGCCTAGCAGCTCTTCTCCCAACATACGCCAGTTGAAAACCAGACCAAGGGGCTTTTTACACGGACGCAATGGCCCTAGACTGGGCCCCTCTGAAAGGCTACGCCTTTCCACCATTCGGCCTGATGGCGCCAGTCCTGAAAAAGGTCTCGCAGGACAAGGCGGATCTGGTCCTAGTAGGTCCAGTCTGGCAGGCGCAACCTTGGTGGCCAGTTCTTCTGAACCTCCTCACCGAAAAACCAGTCATGATCCCGAACTCCAAATACTTGCTGAGGGACCCTGCATCCCCCCTCAGAATCCATCCAATGTATCCCAGGCTCCATCTGGCCGTCTTTCACGTATCAGGGAACAAAATCAAACAGAAGGTTTTTCAGAGGACATTACCGAAATACTCCTCTCAGCCACTCGTACCTCCACACGTAAGACATACCAGTCAACCTGGGGAGAATGGAACAGCTGGTTTGGTAAACAGAAAGTTAATCCAGTTTCAGCAACACTAAATGATGTCCTTCTCTTTTTGACTGATCGCTTTAAAAGCGGGGCTGCGTATCGGTCAGTCAATGTAGTATTGTTCAGCTATCTCCTTCTGTCACCCAAATATTGACGGCTACTCCGTGGGCCAACATCCCCTTGTTGTTCAACTCTTAAAAGGAATGCGAAACATGCGTCCTCCAAAACCCAGATACACACACACACACACGTGGGATGTGCAACTTGTAACTAAGTACTTGGATTCTCTTGGGAAAACTAAACTTTTTCCCCTAAAGCTCATCTCTATCAAGCTGGCAATACTTTTTGCCCTTACGTGTCCAAAGCGAGCTTCGTCCCTTGCTAAATTGGACCTCCGTTACTGCCGTGTAGCCCCCGAGGGAGTTTCCTTTACGCTCACACTTCCGAGGAAGCGAGGTTCAACAGATCAGTTACCTCAAGCATTTTTTGCGTCCTTTCCGTACAACAAGAGACTCTGCCCTGTTGACACGCTCCGTGTTTACCTTAAGGCTACACGTCACTTGCGTCCAGTCGTCCCATCGTCAAAGCCAGATTCCTTGTTTGTCTCCTCTGTTAAACCTCATAACCCAATCACGACCCCAACACTTAGTCGATGGCTTCGCACAGCCATAAAGAATGCTGGAATAGACACTGAGTTGTTTAAGGCTCATTCGGTTCGCGGAGCCTCGACCACAGCAGCAGCGAACAGTAACGTTCCACTTGACGATGTTATGAAAATGGCAGATTGGTCTCGTGTCAGTACCTTTCAAAAGTTTTATTACAAACCGGTTTTCAAGGCCAGTATGGTCACTGTACTTCAATAACTTACAAGTTTTCGTTACATTTCTATGGTCATTATGTAATAAACTGTTTATTGAAGTTACTTGTTTTCTGTCAAGTTATTTTTTATCTTGACCATACCCTACCCCTCTTCTGCACACTACATACATGTCAGGGCGATGAATTCTACCTGATGTTTTCTCATATATTTCGAACAGAGTCTGTGTAATATAATTAACAATTATTCCACGAGCGCGCGTTGGATATGAGATGATAGATAGCCAAAGAGGCGCGTAGCGCCGAGTTGGCTATAATCATCTCATATCCAACAAGCGCGAGTGGAATAATTGTTTTATTAAAAACGTTAAATTAAATTATTAAATTTTATTAAATTTTTAGCTCCCTTTTAATTTTAAGCTGACGCGTACGCTTACCATATTTGAAGATTATGGTATATTGGCTCATATATCATAATGGCTAAGCCAATAAAAAGTCTTGATTGCATTATCCAATGATCCAGTTTTTAATAATCCCAATTATACCAGGGCCACGAAGCGGCCTGCCAGTATAATTCAAATTATATAAACAAACGAAGTGAGAAATATGTGAGTTCCACCCCTCAAACCTTGTATCTGGTATTTTCACACAGCGTTAAAGAGATGCAAAGGATCATGGGACCATGTGCTTGTACAGGGGCACTATGGGATTGCGTCACCTTTTGACCTGTCCCTGGGTGGGGACAGGCTTTAATATGCGTTAAAAAGTGGTTCGAAGCACAAATAAGCGGAATTCTACCTGATGCTTTCTCATATATTTCTCATTTCGTTTGTTTATATAATTTCAATTATACTGGCAAGCCGCTTCGCGGCCCAGGTATAATTAGGATTAAGTTCGTTGGTTTTGAAGGAGGTGCCATTTCCCCATCAGTAGGTTCTTGAGGCTAGGTAAAGCCGGGTGACAGTACAAAAGACTGTTTAATTCTGTGCGTTACTTTCTTTGTTTTTAAGTGACCCTCTTCTTTCGGAGCAGATAACCTAGTCTTATATCTCTCCAGAACTTCGATGGGTATCCTCTATTCCCTTCTTTAAGCGTATTTTGAAACTGTACGTGTTTGGTAAACACGGAGCGCGTGGGATTTGTTATTAGGATGCGAAACCCGTCTCTTTTTGCAAGTCCTTTCTTTACGCCACGTAAAAAGTGTTGACTGGCCAGCATGACTCTTGCCAGGCGTCGAGTGTGATATGAACGACTTTTTCCGCAGTTGCCCGTATGTAAACTAAAACAATGGCGTGGTTGACAGGGATCCTTTGAGACGGTGGCCAACAATAAATCGAACGAAATGACTACTTTTAGATTTTTCAAGTTAGTACAGTAGCGACTGAAATGTTTCTTTCCTGAGGTAACTTTTTATCCCAAGCAATGAAAGCTAGTCAGTGAGTACGAGTGTGCACTTACGTTCTCCTTGGAGAGCCAGGAGTAAAGTCCTCGTCACTGGCCTGTGTTTTTTGTGCTTTCGTCCATTTGGTTTTGAGCTGGAACCAAGCAAGGAACGCAAGGGGTCACATAATAGACAGTATCAGACAACTGGATAAATGATATATACCGTCACCCCGTTGTGTCAGGACAGAGAGGATACCAAACGTGAAAAAGCTGTCGGTTAACTTTTTGTCCTGTTTCACACTTTTGTCCGAAGAATCAATTAAGAAAGAATTAAACACGCAATGAATGGATTTCTTTTTATCGGATTCTGGTGTTCGCGCAAAGATTCCTAAGAATCTCCATGCAACCGAGGAAGACACTGCTCCATACTCTTGTATCTTTCACTTTGACTACTGTAACTTGCTTCTATTTACTCTACCTAAATATCAACTTGATCTTTTACAGAAAGTTCAGAACGCCTTTCGCCATATGTATCCTTTCAGTACCCTATAATGATTGCCCCGTGGCGATCCCAGCAAACGCAAGGATCCAAGATTGGCAACTCATTCATTCAAGTAATCAAGGACTTGGATAATTACATAAAATTCCAGGTAAAATCCACACCTCTTCCTGCCATTAGAGGCGATGTGTTGAATAAAAAAAAAACATTGATTTTATTCCTCGATCTATTCCACGAAATTTTTGGTTGGTACTTTTGTTTAATGTCGGAATCAGGGAATTGTTATGATTAACTTAAACTTTTCGCCAACATTGAACCAAGAATGAACTAGCGCGTCAAGATTTACCTGAGCCAATGGTATGTCACTGCTGTTCCTCTTCAAGGATCTCTTCGCTGATCTTGAGGAAGACGTTGTCGGATCCGCCTTGTCTGCTACTTCATGGTCCTAAAGAAAGAAAGAAACAAATAAACAAACAAACTGTTTTAGGGTCTTGCTACCAGCTCCTCAGGTCGAAATAGTGAAACAGCTTTCGCAATAATAATAATTGCGAAATGATCTCGAACCGATATAATGTCCCTTTTCTTCATACAAGTTTAAAGCAGAAAAAGTAACAAATGAGCGTTAGAATAAAAAAAGACAAGACTTAATTTGATTTCGAACACCCACAGCACTACTAGCACTGATGAGTGTACAGAGTCAACAGGGATGCAAAATGAAACCCATAAACTTTTATTCTCACTGAAGAAGAGGAATCTGTTTTTGAAGAGACGCTTCTTTCAGCAGCGAGTTCTCTTTCCACGTTTTCTTTCTCATGTTTGATCCCCTCTATACTCCTATCCTTGTCGTCAAGTTGTCTCTGGTAATCCCGTTTCGTTTTGCGCAGTTCCTCTTCCATCTCTCGTCTCAAATCCTGCTTACACTGCTCGCGGATGGTGGACAGTTTGATTTCATACTCCGCCTTTTTGGCGTTAGCCACCTCTAATGTTTGACGCATGGTTTTCATGATGTTGTCTCTTGAATCGTTCATTTTGCTGATTTCTTCATCCTTCTTTACTAGCTTTTCCTCCAGAGTAGCACGCTCTTTCTGCAAGATGGCTATTTCCTTCTCCATGTTCTGCATCCGCTCGGAGGCGCTACGCTCATAAACTTCGTTCTTGTTGGACATATTTTTCATGGCATCACTAGCAGCCATCGCTTGGTTCTTCAAGTTGGTAATTTCCTTTTTCTTTATGTCCAGCTCCTTGGTTGCAAAGGCGTTCTTTTCTTGCCAAGTTTGCAGTTCTGTGGAAAGAGTCTCCAATTCACCTTGACGTTCGTCAAGTGCCTGTCCTTGTTCAGCTAATATTATATCTTGCTCTTCTAAAACTTTTTTCAGGTGGGCAATCACATCTTTGTCCTTTCTTGCATCTGCGGAAAACAAGAAC